TGAAGACGAAAAGCAGTAAATGCAGGAAAGTTCTTTGCCCCCCATTTTCCTAAAAGTAGGACATAGATTTACAAAGATAAAAGGTATCCAGATGCTCTTCCACCCAGGAAAACAAAGGTTAACCACTCAAGACAACTATGGACTCTTAGCAGGTGGAAATGGCTGCAGAGGAACTTTACCACCACGTGCTGCCATGTGACGGGTTGTGGCCATAGACCTAGGTAGAGGTGCTGGGATAAGCCTTGCAAGTGCAGAACATGCTTTTCCCTGCCCTTTCTGCTTCCTGCTTTGTAGAATGTGGATGTGTGCCTGGGACTGGAAAGGCCATGGTGGACCCTGATGGGAAAGCCAAGTACTGAGAATGGTTGGTACAAGCCCAAGGCCCTAAGTTATGTGTCTTCTATTCTTGCCACAGACGCCTGTTTTACGTGAGAGGTAAAGAAATGACTAGCTTGTTTACCAGTTTTACAAACCAACCTTTATTCGCTACTTACTGTATTTGCCTTCCCATCAGTTGCTGCCCCTACAGACCAAAAATTTTTGCCTGCTCACTTTAAATATTTACTATTTGAACACCGCCTCTCCAGGCCCTAGAATCAAGACATCTGGAAAACAGCAACTTAGTGCGGAGGTAAAAAGAGCACTTGGAACCAAGGAAGAGCTGACAGGAAAACTAGGAATCACAGAGAAACTGGAGAAATGGAAGACAATACAGAGAGAAGAAGAAAGTCTGGACACTGACCCAGCTCCTGGGGGAGGGTCTGGCTCTCCAGGGACAAGCTAACCCCTGAGAGGGCCGGCAGCACCAGGAAGAAGCAACTGATGGGCAGCGCCAGATCCAGGAAAAGTTCACGCTTACTGTAAGCTGCAAAAGCAACACGAGGTTTTACCCTAAAAATGACTCCAGATGGCAGGCTAGAGTTGGAGAAGAAATCCAGTGCTGTACACACCATATTTGGGAGTGATTGAGCAGGCACCATTCTTGGGAGGGGATAATTGTTTTAAGACTGAGCTACTCTGGGAATCAGAAGTCAGAGAACAGCTATACTTCAGGATTTCTGGGGACACTCTATTATCCTGTCTGGGTGGAAGATTGTAATGGTTGATACATTGTGTCAATTTGAGAAGTTTCAAAATTTAATGAAGCAACTCAGCAGGGGACCAGGGTCCTCATTTTGTAAACATCCTTATCCTGTGCAACAGAGCACAGAGACAGTGTGAGTGCTATACCTGCCCTAGGGGGTATAGCCTTCTTACAATATAAGGTAGAGAAAAGTAACCAAGACATAATTTGGTACCAGGAATGGGGTCATTGCTGTGACTTTACCTAACCATGTGGTTCAAGAGCTGTTGGCAATGGTTTGTGGAAAGTGTTTGGAAAGGTTTGGAGATGTCTCCTGAAAAAGTAATGCTGGAATGCCGTAGGCTGTTCCATATGGGAGATCTGATCAGAGCTCAGAAGACCAGAAGGCTGATAGAAATCCTGCTGGTAAAGACCAGGTTTAGGAGGTTTCTGCTGGGAAGAAGGACTGCATTGGTTGTTGGACTCCAGATGATGTATGTTATGGCTTGGCAGAAAGTTTGTCTGCATTTTGCTCCTGGACAGAGACTTTGCCTGAGACTGAGGTTAAGGACAGTGGACTAATTAATCTGGCAGAAGAAATTTCAAGGCAGAAAAATGTTGAGGTGGTGGCATTCCTATTGTTGGGGGCTTTTAGCCAGGTTTATGTTGTGAACCAAGAGCAAAGAGCCCAGCATGATGATTTTAAAAATGTGAGTTTGGCCAGAAAGGAAGCTCCAGTAAAGCAATGGACTACAAAGATAGAGCTGAGGAGATCTCCATTGCTGAGAAGGAACAGGAGAATAGAAAAGATGACCTGGGGGCATCACAAGAAGCAGCAAGTCTCCACCTTTGCAGCCTCAAAACTGCAAAAATGAAAGACTTTGCTTTCAGGAGAAAGCCACAGAGTTCCAGAATGGTGGTGGCCACATCGTTTCAGAATGGTGGCAGCATAGAAAATTTGTTCCTCAGAATTGAATTCAGAGTGTCCAGTGATCCAGGCATTCATCTCCTACGGCCCAGAGAGAGGAAAGCCTGACTACTGCTCCAGCTGACAGCAGAACTTAGCATCATCCAAGGTGGTGCTGCTTTTAGGTACATGCAGAATGCAAGAGTTACGGGGTTAAGAAGGCTTGCACCCTGATTTTATGCCTGAGAGACCAGGCAGTGTGCCTCTGAGAGGGCAGTGTGTGAAGCTGAGTGTGAAGCCAAATGTTCACTGGAGACCCCAGAAGTTTGGAAAAGCCAGGAACATGGATCATATAAGGAAACCCACAAGAAAGGATCAAAGCCAACCCAAGAAAGAAGCCGTGGGAGCTGTAACCACTAGAAGTGCCATAGGCATGGAAATACACTAGCCCTTCTGACTCACAACTTGCCACAGATTGCCTCAGGTGGTGCACATGGAACTACATGACTTAATGTTTGCCTTGCTAAATTTTGGACTTGCTTTGGTCCCATTCCTTTGTATTCTGGTTTATAACTTTTGGAATGAAAATGTTTCTCTTGTGCCACTGAATGTTGTAAGTGTTTAGCTTTTCATTTGTACAGGGGCTTGCAGCTAAGAGTGTGCTTTATATCTTGGAGGAGTCTTGGGACTTGGACTTTTCAGCAATGCTGAAACTGTTAGGACTTTGGCAACTCTTGCAGATGGAGTAAATCCTTTTTGCATAAAGGGATGTACATGAGTCTTTGGGGGGCCAGGGGCAGAATGTTACAGTTCTAATGTAATATAATGTTGATAGACTTAATACTGGCTCTTAAGGATTGTTAAACTTGTGTTATGAAGTTCAAGTTGTGAAATGATAAGAATAAGCATGTCTTTGTATCTGGAAACCAGTTTAAAGAAATGTGTCTGGTTGCCAAGTTGACAAGGGGCGAACTGTAATGGTTGCTACATTGTGTCAACTTGAGAAGTTTAGAAATTCAATGAAGCAATTCAGCAGGGGGCCAGGGTCCTAACTTTGTAAACATCTTCATCCTGTGCAAGAGGAGGGCACCCAGATGGTGTGAGTGCTACACCTGTCGGGGAGAAGCGGGGTAGCCTGCTTATAATATAAGGAAGGAAAAGAGGCTTGCTCCCCTCTCTTTTGCTCTTGCTGCTTTTGCTGTCTTCTGCAGCCTTGAACTGTTGCCTCTGTACCCGGCCACCCTCCTTGGAGCCAGCTGATTATGGACTGAAACCTCCACAAATTGTAAGCTAAATAAACCTTTCCTTCCTTAATTTTGGGTGTTGGGTATTTTGTCTCAGCAACAAAAGTAACCAAGACAGAAATGGTCACAAGTGTCAGATGTAGGGCTGGGCGTGGTGGTGCATGCCTGGAATCCCAGCACCCAGGAGGCTGAGGCAAGAGGATTGCTGTGAGTGCACGGCCAGCCTGGGCTACATAATGAGTTCAAGCCCAGCCTGAACTGCATAGCAAAACCCTGTCTCAAAAAGAAAAAGAAAAAAGAGTCAGTTGTGGAGAGGGGCCAGCTAGTCACAGATCCCTGGTTAGGTTTCAGCAGCAAGAACTTAGCTTGGGAAGGACACAATGGCCCTGCCCTTTGTGGTGAGAAACCAGGCTGATCACATGTGGTTTCAAAGGAGGCTGGATCTGAAAGTCCTGGCAGATTGCTTGGTTCCCATGCTACCTACTTCCACTGCAGAGCTCAAGGGTCCGTTCAGTTTCTTCATCTGAGATCAGGAATACACTTTAGCTTGGGTGTTTGCCACATCCTGGGGTGTATGGATAGAGGCTTCTGGAGCAAGGGGGCATCTCACAAGCTCACAGTCTGTAAGGCTAGGTGGAGATAGCAATGACTTGGGGGGCATAGAAAGGCACAAACTCTAAAAGCCTCTGGAGTGGATATAGCCCTAAGGCGGACCCCACACTATTAACTGACCCTCACCCAGTGGGAAAGGCTGGGCAGGACCCAGCAGTCACCCAGAAAAGTGGGCATGGAAATAAAACTCATATCTGGTAGATTCTAATTCAATAGACACTGAAAAGAAACCACTCACTCAAACATGGAGAAGGATTTTTTTATTTTTTATTTTTTTTATTTATTTTTTGGTAGCAAGAACTGAACTCAGGACCTTTTACTTGCCAGGCAGGTGCTTGTGCCTCTGAGCTATATCCCTAGCCAGGGAGGGAATTTTGGGCTTTGTTTGATTTTTGAGATTTTTATTTTCCCGTTTCTTTGGATTTTTTTTTTTTTTTCTAGACAGGGTATTATGGTTCAAGCTGGCCTTGCACTCACAGCAAGCCGCCTTCTCAGCCTCTCCAGTGCTGAGATCACCAGTGTGCACCATCGTGCCCACTTCTTGTTTTTGTTTTTCTGTTACTTTTACCTAATTCTGTTAGCTTTCTTTTACTCATTAGCTCACTTTTTCCCTCCTTGTCCTCATCTTTTTCAAATTTTACTTTCGTTTTTCTCCTTTTCCCAGTACCTCCGTTTTCTTTATTACTACTACTAACCCTTATTAATTTCTAGCTATTTAGTTGACTTGGTTGCTGTTACTGATGAATTCTTTTTTATTGTTAATTGTGGTATAGTTGTTGCATTTAGTAGATATTTGCTGTATGTTAGTATTTGCTGTGACTGTGTGTTATATTACCTTGTAGATGTCTTTTCTATTAACAGTGATATGGTTGAAGTTTTTATGCTATGTCATTATATAGTTCGTTTTATTTCTTGTTTTATACTGTCTTAAACGTGCCCCTTGTGGGGGGAATTGCCCCTTGCATATAGTTTACCTAACAGATATCTGCACTAAAATAAAAAAACTTTATTTACATGTTTGGACAGTGAGTAGGCAAAGTATTACAATTCATTGAACTCAGATTTCAGTTTTTAAAAACTATATTCAAGCGCTAAGTATTTCACTTATAAAGCTCTGCATGCGGTACACTTGCTTCTGTCCAAAGCACCTGCATTTCTGTTACTGTATTTTGCTGTTTCAACATGACTTGGTATCCTGTCCTTCCACTGTTACTCAACGGTTACATTTTCTTTTGTCTTATTCTTCTTTTGGCTTCTTTTTCTCTCTTTATGTTTTCGAGCGTATCTTTGAGGTGCAGGGTGTTCATCCCCAAGATCCACAACAATTACCTCCTTAGAAAATGTCACTCCTTTTAAAGGTCTTTTTTGGCTTTCGCTGACTGAAGTTTCCTGCAAATTTTTACCCTGTAAGATATTGGGATACAGTGTAAGTGATCAACTTATGAACATAACAAGCTCTGCTTTTCAAAATATGATTCTATGTACATTATGAACAAGAAACAAAAAAGTACTGTATTTCTAACTGATATAGTGAAGCAACAGGGATCCATCAGCATCACATTTAAATATTTTTCTTTTTTTTTTTTGGTACCGGGAATCAAACTCAGGACCTTGCCCTTGCCAGGCGGGTGCTGTGCTGCTGAGCTACATCCCCGGCCCACACTGAAATATTTCTACGGCTGTAAGAGCCTACACTGACACAGTCAAATATTATTGGATGGCACGTGTCAGTCTCTGTAAAGGAGTCAAAGCCAAGAGCCATGTGGACCACTGCTTGTCTTGGGCGGGGCCTGGCCATACGGGGAGGGCCCGTGCCTGCTGTTGTTCGGGGCCTTGCGGGCGAGCTCGTGAGGGTCCTGGCAGTGTTTGTGTGGTGCTGGGGCAGAAGTGTCAGAGTACGGACATGGGGGATGGCCTGAGCTTGGCCTCAATGAGGAGTGAAAAAAGTCTGTTTTATTTTTTCATCCGAGACGTTTGGCTCTCAGGAGTTGGTGAGAAACAAAGCCGAGGGAAATTATTAAGAAAACCACAAATGTAGGAGGGGAGAATGAGGCCCGTCCCGGCTTGGCGTGTGTAGCTGGTTTAATACCCTAAGGCTTAGGAAAATGGCTTACATGACTGGCCCTGGACTCACCCCTGGATCAAACTCACTTTACAGAAGACGCCACCCCCAGCGGAGTAATTTTCCTGCTTCACCATCACACATAAATTATTATCTGCCTGTTGAAAGTGGAAGAGCACCTCACCTTTTCATTCATTCCTCCGGCACCCGCAGGCTTTTGCCTGTCTTTCATTTTGTCCTCTTCCTCTGCCTCCTCCTCCTTTCTGTTTCCTAAGGGTGTTACCGCTTCCCTGTTCTGTCTCTGGACGAGAATGCCAGGCCTCACGGGTGCACTGGAGTCCACGATTGGCACTGGGGTCCTGGAAAATCAATCAGCAGAAGTTTAAAAGTCCAGGCACAATCATCAGCGTCATCACACAACAGTGCGTCCCACCGCCCCTCAGGTACACACTTTTCCTGGTCTCCCGCACCGTTCATCTCCTCTTCCTCAGGCGAAGGTGAGCAGTCTTCATCTCCATTAGCATCTGTGCAAGGACTTCTTTCTGCCCAGTCGTCTTTTTTGTCTTGGAAACTGAAAACAAGCACGCAAACATTTCAGAATGGGCAGCGTGGCCGTGATTCTAAGGTGTGCTGGGGGGATTTCACTTCTGAACAGGAAATTAGCATTTTCAAAACCCTGGCATGGAAAAGGTATTTAGCTGCTGTGTTACTTGCTCTGTTTTAAATTATTTCTAGATACATTTGCTAGTGTGACCTGAAATGTGATTCTAATTTAGCAACTGGATTTATACCATTTATATAAAAAAAACACCAATAAAAGGAAGATGAAAATGAAGCAGATTAGGAGGAGGACGAAGAAAGTGACTGTGGTGGTTTCCAGGCCCGGAGGGTTGGCTTCTAAGGACATGTCCCTCCTCGGAGACTGTGCAGGCCGTCGTTTCCAGCTCCGTTGGAAGCTAGTTCACTTCTGTGCGCTTTCTAGAAACAAGAATAAAAGGCTGCTTTCATGGCCGTCGTGCTGCTCCGGTGAGCTCCATAGACACTCTGCGCGTTTCCGTGGAGGCAACTCACACCCACTAACTTCTCTCCATGCATGCGGTGGGGGCTGAGGTGGCCGGAGGGGAGACAGAGCTGGGCCTCGGTGGTCGCTCAGGTCACCTCCCCTCACCTCAAAAGCGGCAGAAATCCAGAGGAGAAGGGGGTGGGAGCAGCGGGAGCCCACTTCCCTCTCTCCAGTGACATCACAGAGGTCTGGAACTCTGAGACCATTCCCGGGAGGCAAGGAGACCACGCATTGCTCCCCTGGCTGCTGTGCATCCATTCTGCCTACTGAAAGGTCCAGAGTGGAGGCCAGTGTCTCCACCATGTTTTGGAGAAGGATTTTCTTTCTACTTTTGGGCAGCATCCTTCCTTTCCTATCTGAGTCTGTCTCTTTCTTGCTTCTTTAACAGATCTGAACAAGGAGTCCTTCTTATAACATCCTTCTCTGAGCCTGGTGTGGCGGCGCATGCCTGTAATCCCAGCACTCGGGAAGCTGAGGCAGGAGGATCATTGTGAGTTCAAGATCAGCCTGGGCTACAAACTGAGCTCAAGGCCAGCCCAAACTGCATAGCGAGACCCTGTCTCAAAAAGACCAAAAACAAAAAGAAAAAGTGACCTTTTCGGTAGCCCGATGTTATAATCAGCTCTACTAACATTACGTCCCAGCTGAGAGCCCATATTCTTCTGATTCACATCTCTGGACCTACTTCCTGGACACCCAAAGAAACTGGCAGCTCGGAAGGCATGAGGAAGCAGGAGTTGAACGAGATGATCAAACCAAAGATGAATCCTGGCCCCGACCTACCTTCAAGTAAGAGCTGGTGATGCTCACAGCAGTGAGGGAGAAGGTGGCACTCAGGTGATTTTACACACTGAACCTCACACCCCAAATGTGAGCCTGGGGGGAGGTGGGGAAGGGGGTGACGGGAAGGGTGATAAAGTATCTTGTGTGCATGTGCAAATCTGCCAAAATGAAGCCCGTTCACCTGTATAACCAATAAAAAAGAGTGACGAAACAAAAACCAAAAGCTGGGCATGGTGGCGCATGCCTGTAATCCCAGCACTCCAGGAGGCTGAGGCAGAAAGATTGCCGCAAATTCTCAGCCAGCCTGGGATACAGTGAGACCTTGTCTCAAAACAAAAACACACAAAAGCCTTCCTCCACATATTTTAAATAAGTTTAAAACATAAGAATAATTTTATGAGAGTTTTGTTTTTTTTTTTTTTTTTTTTTTTTTTTTTTTTTTTTTTTTTTTTTCTTTTTGAGATGGTCTTGCTATGCAGTTCGGGCTGGCCTTGAGCTCAGTTTGTAGCTCAGGCTGGCCATGAACTCACAACAATCTTCCTGCCTCAGCCTCCTGAGTGCTGGGATTACAGGTGTGTGCCACTATGCCTGGCAAGAGTATTCTTTTTCAATTAAAAAATAGAAAGAACGTGAAAAGGCAACCCACAGACTGATAGGTATTTCCCACACTCTATATAGAATCAGCATATATATATTCCATATGCTGATATATATATATATTCTGTATATATATTCTCTATGTATACATATATAGTTTTTCAGTACTGGGGATTGACCTCAGGGCCTTTGCACTGAGCTACATCTCTAGCCCCTTTTATTTTAAAGAGAAAAGAACAAAAACAAAACAACACAAAAACTATAAAAATGATACAGAATTTCAAAACAAATTGATAGGAAATCAACAGTGTTTGTTGTATTATTGTGATCATCAGAATGGTTACTCAGATTACCGGATATAGGTATGAAAGATTGATCACACAGTTAAACATTAACTTGGAATGTTTCACGAATTTCCATGTCACCCTTGTACAGGGGCCACACTAACCTCTGTATCATTCCGATTTTATACGTGTGCTGCCGAAGGGAGTACACCCCCCATTTTATTTTGAGAAAGGGTGATGGTGGGTTGCTACATTGCCCAGGCTGAGCTTGAACTTACAATCTTTCTGCTCAACTTTTCTGTAGACCTGAAACTGATTTTAAAAATCTGTTAATTATACTAGAAATAGTGGTGCACACTTCTAATCCCAGCACTTAGGAGGTTGAGGAACCGTGTCTCAGAAACAAAACGAACAGTAAAAAAGAGACAAGGTCTTACTATGTAGTCCAGACTGGTCTTGAACTTGTGGCTATCTTCCTGCCTCAGCCGTCCAAGTCCTGAGATTATAGACATGTACCATATGCCCCACAAGACTTTGTCTCAAAAAAAAAAAAAAATTCTATTGATTTTGACCTAATGGATTCTGGCAGTTAGTAAAAACACTTTTTTTTCTTTTTGTCTTCTTGAGACAGGGTCTCGCTATGCAGTCCAGGCTGCCCTTGAGCTTGCTTTATAGCCCAGGGTGGTCTCCAACTCAAAATGATCCTCCTGCCTCAGCCTCCTGAGTGCTGGGGTTACTGGCATGCACCACCACGCCCAGCCCAATAAAAACATTTTTGAAAAGTGTCTTTTTTTTCCTTTTTTCCCCTAGTATTGGAGCTTAAACTCAGAAAGCACTAATTTTGAGAGAGGGTCTGTCAATTAAAAGAAAAAAAAAAAAGAAAACCAAAACCAAATTATTATTTCTCTCTAGGCAAGTACTTAGTAAACCTGACCCAGGGCACTGAGGGGTGCTGAGGACCGTCAGGGCACACGCAGCACAGCAGCTGTGCAGATGCACATTAGTTTTCTGCAGGGGCCCTATCATGTGTCCTGGGAGAGAGGGGGAAAGAGACATTAGTATGTTTATGTCCTGTTTTTTTGGACAGCAGTGGAAAGGCAGAAAGCTTTTCTTGGTTTGCTTCTCGATTGCCTTCAGATCAAGATGATATTTTAATGCTGATTACGGTTGCATTTCCTACAAGCTGTTTCTTTCTTCCTCTCATGATTAATGTTTTCATCATCTTCTTATTCCTGTGAACATATTCAGGGCATAACATACTATCTTCTAGTCCTGGGGTAGGGAAATCATCCTCTCGGAGCTTCAGGGGCCCAGGCGTGGCCTGCTCGCGGTGGCAGGTGGGCTGAGCCTGCTCCACCTGCGGACGGAAGCTGGTTGTGGACGGCTCCTGATGCCGGAGGCTTGCAAGGCTCTAGCAAGAAGACCTCTGCAGAGCCAGGGATGGGACGCAGATGGACCAACATTGGGCCGAAGGACTCTTGCAGCTACTCTTGGCCAAGATGCCAGGACAGACTCCTGTGCTGAAGCTACCACTACAACTGTATTAGTCTCCTCCTCCTTGTCACGCATAGTAACTTTTCAGAAGCCTTTTTTTCTTGGTCACTGAGGTGGATTAACTAGCACTCAACTTGTAACACCCCGCTGAACTGAGTCAGCGTGGTGCTGGGTGTGGAAGGCCCACCTGAGGATCGTTGCCAACAGCATAAAAGCAGAACTGGAGGGGAAGATGGTGCGCTGTGGATTCTCCTGGAGGAGCTTGTCGCTCTGGCTTTCCTGATTAGAGCTTGGCTGTTCTCATTGTTGGAGGAGCTGGGGGCCTTGCTGTACCTGAAGATGGCTCCTATTCTCTTCAGGGGATCTCTGGTCCTTACCTTGAGTGTTGCTTCCTGGGTCCAGGGCAGATCCCTCACCTGCTGACACAGATCGTTCATCCCGCTGGTGCAGACTTTCTAGCTTCCACCACTGACCTTTGGGCCTTCCCAGTGCAGATCCATGAAACAGACTTGCATGAGAAGCCAGGCATGGTGGCGCATGCCTATAATCCCAGCACTCGGGAGGCTGAGGCAGGAGGATCGTTGTGAGTTCAGGATCATTGTGAGCTCAAGGCCAGCCTGATCTGCATATCGAGACCCTATCTCAAAAAGAAAAAAAAAAAAAAATAGACTTGCCTGAGACATTGTCATGGGCTCTAAGCCTCCCGCTGGAATCGTGCAGGACATTGCTGCGGGATCCAGGCCCTCAGCTGGATTCTCTGGGTCTCTAGTGTGTGGACAGGTCTCCCACACTCTTTTGTATTTGACTCGTTGAGTGAATACTATAAAATAATCCTATAGATTATGTGTCCTATATTAAATCTTTTCTCTTGTAAACCCTGACTACAACAATCACCTTGCATTTCCTGGAACTTGGCTGGAATTTGGCCACCTCTGACGTTTTAGGAATATCACACTGTTGTTCAGGGCAGGCACGCTTCTGGAGCCTCGAGTATGCCTGTGTCCTGGCCATCGTTGCTCAAATTGCTGGCACCAGTTCCAGAGAGTGTGCCAAGACACCTTATTAACCAAAGGCAAGAAGGGTCAGCAGGGGTGGGGTGTTTTATGATTAGGTTTTGGGAAAGCTTTGCACTGTTCATTCGTTTGTGGAAGGTGAACTGCGTGTTCACAATCTGCAAGCGATGAAACACTTGGTTCCATTAGGAGTTCGGGTTCCTCTGCACCTGGGACCAGGGTTAAAATCACATTTTCCTCGTCTAATTCCTCCTCAAAGAAATTCTTCTCGCTGATGCTAAAACTTGCACCTGTCTTTTTTTTTTTTTTTTTTTTTTTTTGGTCTTTTTGAGATAGGGTCTCGGGCATGCTAAGCAAGAGCTCTGTCCCTGAGCTACATCTGACAGGGAAAGACT